CTGTGTGAGCTCTGGAGAGCTTGGGCACCAGGGCCCAGCAGAACTTCAGTCCCGGAGATTCTGGGGGAGCACATGTTGCCTAGCCTTTCCAGCATGCAGAGCCTGCCTGAGACCTTTGGCATGTGGGCCCGCCTGTTAGCAGCCATGCCAGCAGCACAGCTGCATCTAGTCTCTCCTGTCCCTTTGCTTCCACTCCTGCGTCTCCTCCAACTCGGCCCTGCTGCCACTCCCTAAAGACCTTGCCTTTTCACCCAGCCCACCTGCATCCCCCTGGGGCTAGCGTCCCCCAGATTCTTTTTTTTTTAAAGATTTATTTATACAAGACAGGGGTATAGGCCAGATATGCAGGAGGGTGAGAGGATTCACCAGAGACAGAGCGGGGAACAGAACAGGCAGACAGAGCGAAATACACTGTTGAGGGGAGCAGCAGGCGAGGCAGGAGAGGTCTGCTGCGCCATGGGGTTATCTCCGCAGCCGGCCGGGATTGAACCCGCACTGCAGAGGCTGCAGACAGCTTCACAGCGCTGTGCTCAACCCGCTGCGCCATCAAGGAGGCCGTCCCCCACATTCTTGTTCACATCTCCAAAATGCCTTTTGCCACATAAAGCAGCATTTCCAGGTTCTGGGGGTGAGGCCTGGGCAGGTCTCTGGAGGTTGTAACCAGCCACCACAGTGGCTGAGGGCAGGGAATTGGGGCCACCCTGAGTGGACCCTTGATTCTGAGCATCGGGTGCAAGTGCTTATTCTGCTGGTCGTCAGGCTTCTCACACCGTCATCTCAGCCACACGGCGTCAGGATGGATGTTTGTAGTTACTAATCTACGTCTTCGGCGTCATTTAGGCGAGATCAACTTGCTCTTCTCCCAGTCGCCTCTCATTAGGAAGGCGCCATGCACCGGTTAATATTTATAGGGTATCACGGTTGAAAAGGGTAAAGTCAGTTTTCTGAAAAATTTACTTATGCAAAATGCCACCTTTTCAGTAAGACTGGATAAATAGTCACAAGACATTTTCACTTCTCTGCCTCTAGGTATTATTACTAGTGATGTTTAGATTTATGCAGATTTCCTTCTCCAAGTGTTTCAGCGCGCCTTCAAGTTGGAGGTACACACAGTCTGACGCGGCAGGACGGAGGTGATTTAACAGGTATTTCAAGCCCGTTGCCTTAAATCAGAAGGAATTTTCCATTGCTGCCTTCCTTTGTGTTCTGGTGGAAACCAAATGCTGAGCATGAAGGGGATGGTTGTATTTGCACATCATGGTCTGAGACCTCTCTGCCGCTCCAGCCGCCTTCGTTTTATCGAGGGCTATATTTAAAGGAACTCAGCAGCTGGAAACGTCCTCAGGGACCCTCATCAGGCAGAGGCGCGTGTTGTAGGAGGTACAGGGGGCCGGCAGGTGCTGTCTGTTTTCTCAGTGCTACTTGCTGGCTGGGGGTTCGCTGAGCCCCCGCAGCTGCCAGCAAGTGAGGAGTGGCTGCTGCGCCCCTCTAGTGGAGATGGCCCCCCCTGAACATGGGGGTCTCCGCCTGCCGCTGCGTCTTCATTCCTCGGAACAGCAGTCCCTGGGCCCTTAGGTCTGGCTCCCTGCCTTTGTCTAACCCAAGGCAGCATGATCAGAATTTCCTCATGCCCATCTTCCCCCTCCCGACTCCCTGGGCCCCCGCCGGGCCCTGTGCCCTACTGCTTGGTGGCCTTGAACTCAGTCACCGCCCCAGTGCCAGGTCCGGCCTGTGCCCCAAGGCTCAGCGGTCAGCTGTCCCTGAAATGCTGGCTGCAAGTCACCTTTCCCACAGAAACACACTACTTCCAGGAAAACTTGAAAACAGAGCCAGCTTTCGGGAGACATGACCAGCCTTCTGAGGGGTGAACAGAAGCAGTGTGAGAGGACACGTCTCCCCCGCTCTCCCACTTTGGAAGGGGAGTTGTACCAGAACCCCCATATTTATGGCGGACAGAAGTGAGGGGTGAGTTTCGGAGCAGGCTGTCACGTCTGCCGTGGGCCCCTCTAGCCGGCCTGCCTCCGAAAGGTGCCTTCCTGGCCATCACGGGGGCAGGGGCTGCCTGGGTACTCACCTTCGCCCTGCAGCAGCCGCCTGCACTGCCCCGGCCCTCAGGCAGCCCCCAGACCTGTTTGCAGGAACTTCTTGTCTCTCCTGAGCTAATTTAATGCCAGTTCCCAAGGGCCTCAGGGGAAGGTAGCCTGTGTTGTTCTTGTGTTTTTTTATATTTTGTTACCTTTAAAAAATTAAAGTGCCGCATACACGCACAGTGCAGGGTTGGTACCTGTGTGGCTCAACAGGCTATCTCAGAGGAAGCCCCTGTGTTAGCCACCCCCTCACCTGCATGGACATGGAGGCCCTTGTGGCCGCGCCCCCTCCCCTGCGGCCCCACTCCTGTCCTCAAGGAGAGGCTGCCGCGACTTGGGCACCACTGCCTGGTGCTGCTTCTCTGACTGCGACACATGGCGGTGCATGCGGTACACGCTGCCTGTGTCTGGTGACTGACACCGGGGCCTCTGGGTCGAGTGAGAAGAGTTCCACAGGAACAGACGCTGCCTTCTGGAGTCGTAGCCAGAGGCCTGTGTTCCTGCAGTGAGCCTGGTTTTCCTCTTCGCTGCAGTGCTTTTGCAGTGAGCTCAGGGTGTTTGCTTTCCTCAAGAGCGTCTCTCCAGAACATGGGAAGGCTCAGCTTTCTGTTGTCCATCTGAGTGGTGAGACTCGGCCAAAATGACTTCTGGCTGTTTACGAAAGCTAAATCCTACCCCCACAGACTAGGAATGACCACTCCCGTGTTCACGAGATTTGGCTACTATGAAGAAGAGGGACAAAGATGCACAGATGCCTCGTTTGGAAGAGCACCCACAAACCCCGGGCCCCTGGTCAGGCGGGGTGGCCTTGTAGAAGATGGAACTCTTTTGAACCTGCAAGTTCGGGATCCACTGATTTCATGTGCAGTTCTGTGTTGAAAGCCCTTCCTTCTGGCCTGTGTGCAGCAGCCTGTGGGGTGCAACACCCCAGCCTTTCAAGCGGGCCCACAGTCCGATGGTCTAAGAAAATCAATTAATTAAAAAAAAAATTCTCTTTCGATCTTGCTTCATGTTCTGCTGAAGTCAGGACATCATTGCTGTTAGCAGGCAGGCCGAGGGGTTCCGTGGAGAACTTGTGCTGCGCGCCCAGAGACAGAGCGTATTTGTGTGTGTGTCAGAGAACCTTAATAGAATCGGCGCGCACAGAGAGAGGAAAGGGTAGTGTTTTGCAGTAAAACACCCATCATGGGTTTTAAGTCACCCATCATGTGTTCTGAGCCCACCTGCCTCCCCTGTCACACGGCTTCGCCTCAGCGCTCAGCTCCGCCCCTCACTTGGTGGGGCAGGAACATGGCACCTTTCCTTTACATGGCGATGCCTGTGTTACATGTGGTTAAGGTGTAAGTAGGCTTAAAGGTAATATTGTAATTTTAAAATAGACTTATCTAAGTAATATTTCCATGTATTATAATTAATATGATAGTATAACTGTTTTTATCCACGAATAAATCTAATGGGCCCCTGCCTATACCCCTGTCTGTCAGGGGACGGTTTTTCCTGCCACCCACGTCTGAGCCCATCTCTGGTGGGCAAGAGTGCCCCGCCCACGTCTCCAGCGGCCCCTGCATATTGAGGAGCAGAGCCAGGCTCCCTCCAGGGAGCCGGATAGGGCCAGAAAGAGACCCTGATTTGCGAGATGAGTAAAATCTGGAACGTGGGGTCCAATGCTGGGTGTCACGGGTACGGTTGTTGCAGTGACGTGTTACACTGTTATGTCCTTTGGCTGTGCCCAGTGAGTGTGTTACGTCAGATGCACAGCATCTCCCTTGGTTTCTTGCAGTTTGAGAAAACGCGCAGGGCACGTGCACTGTGTTCCTGCATCCGGTGTCAGAGGAGAAGGGCATGGGGCTGCCCGTGGGCAGCTGGGGGCAGCCCCCATCTTAGGGCTGGTGATGGCGGCAGCGCTGCGGAGTCCCGGCCGGGGCAGCAGCGTGGGCTGTGTGTGGGAGCCGTGGAGGGGCGGGCACTTAGTCCAGCCACGGGACATGCTGGACTCCGACTGGAGTTTGGAGGTACAGTGAAGAATGTCCAGATGCCAGTCTTCATTGGCATTGTCAGGGCAGGGGCGGGAGAACTGGGGGCTGCAGAGCGGGCAGCTTTGCACCCAGAGAAGGAGCGGAGTGTGAGGCCCGGGAAGAGCAGGAGTGTGTGGCCAGGTGCCCGGGAGGCTCCTCCGCTGCGGCTGCGGGGTGGACAGCCACGCGTGGTGAGACGCAGGCCGTGTTTATGTTTATGCTGCATGGGTTTGTACTGTGACGGACTGAGGTTTTACTTACACTGATCAGGATGAAAGTGTTGTGTGCCCTATATAGCCATTAATTGGATTTTGCATGTGTGCCTGTTCATCCTGTTTTTGAATATTTGCGTAATCCTAAAGCATTAGTCCTCTTCAAAGAACGGTGCTTTGCATTTCTCTAGTTTTCTTTCTAGCATCCCCGGGGTCTGCCTTTTACCCTCCAATGAGAGCGAAACGCTGGCACACCCTGCCTTGCCCTCGCCCGCACGGCCTTCTGTGGGTCCTTCTGGCTCTGGGCTAACGCCCTCAGGGAGCAGCTGCGGCCCTGATGCCCTGGCTCTGCAGCCCCTCCAGAGCCAGCTCTCTCCACACCTCCTACCTCAGGGCCTGGAAGCAAGACCTGCTTCTGCCTTGCCCACCCAGCTTGGCCTGTGCCACATCCCCTTCCTGGAGCTCTTTGCTATAGGTGCCTGGACACCCTCGCTCTTTCTCAGGAACCTGCTCCGTGTTATGTGTCAGTCCTCACTGACAGCAGGCCCTGCCTGCTCCACCCACGGGCTGCTCCCCTCTGCGACTCGGGAGCCCGGGATGCAAGAGGTCCTTTGGGGTACTTGACCTGGGCCTTTTGGTCACCCTCAGGCAACTGCAACGCTCACGTCTCCCCTCCCTCCCCACAGGGAAGCAGTTCAAGTGCACGGTGTGTGACTACACGGCGGCCCAGAAGCCCCAGCTGCTGCGGCACATGGAGCAGCACACCTCCTTCAAGGTAGGGGCCCCTGCGAGGCCAGGGGCTGGGCTGAGCCGGTGAAGTCCTCCTCTTCAGCCGGCAGGGAGAGGCATCCCTCCCTTACTCTATGGGCATCCCCTCAGCGGGCCCAAGCGCCTCAGGCCTGCTTGCTGCCGGGCTCTGTGTGCACAAGTGCTGCATCCTCTGTGCCTTGGAAACCAAGGCTGGGGGTGTGAGGGATGCAGGCTAGGGATAGCCCTGAGCTTGCCGGAAAATCACCCAGTGTGGACTTGGGGACGAGGCTGTGCCTGCAGACCTGGGCTGGGGCAGGGCACCCCCTTTGCTTGGGGGCACCGGCCACGGGCAGGTTGTCATACAGACTGAAGGTGGCGCTCCCGGAGCCCCCGCGTTCCCATGCAGCAGCTGCAGAAATGGCGCTTCCCGAGTTCTTTTGCCCGGTTCGCTGGTGCTTCCTTCACGGAGGTGGGCTTGGCCACGGCTCGGCGCTGCGGTCCAGTGAATTGCTTTAGGACACGTTCAGCTCGGCACTCGGCAGCTTGACCCTCAAGATTGGTGGTGATGGCAGAGGAAGGGGGAGCACGAGGCCCTGCAGTGCTTGGTGGGGAGTGGGTGTGGGGCTGCTGGTCACACCCTCGGGCGGCGCTTTCGAGCCTCGCCTGTCTGCCCGCACCGTGCCTCGAGCCCCCCAGTACCCGGGAGGTGACATTGTCCCCTGAGACACAGGGCAGTGGCCGGACCCCACCACGCCCGGGTGCTCGGGTCAGTGGCCATCACGATGGTGCCCAGCCTGTGTTCTCCATCGATAGCTCGTCTGCTCAGAATAGCCCGAGAGCGAACCCCCTCGGCTGGAAGGGGCGATGTCCAGGCTGGGAAGGGGCCAGAGCTTGCGCCTTCCTCACTGGTCTTCTCAGTTACTCGCTGTGGCAGAAAGGGGCCAGGGGGCTGGGAAGCCGAGGCCGTGCGCCTGCCGTGATGGAGCTGCCTGCAGTCCATGTGACGGGGTTTGTCAGGGGAGCCCCACGGCTCATAGGGGAGCCCCACGGCTCATAGGGGAGCTTTGCCGTCTCTCAGTGGGGGGCTCCCCCCCCGAGAACGTGCTGTGTCGTCAGAGCTAAGAGCACGTGTCACAGTTCATAGCTCGCAGGAGTTTCTCTGGGGACTTGGTTTTCTCAGCCCGAGGACCTCCGGAGAGCTCAGCAGCTTCCCTGTTCCATGAGCGCCTTGGGCCCAGCTCAGCGACCCTCGCTGTCTAGGTTAGAAGTGGACTCTCGCGCCACCCTTGGTTTCAGTGAGGATGTTTCCTAACGAGACATAGCTGAACAGGCTTTCTGCCCTGAAATCCTCATTGTTTTCTAAGATTTGTGGAACCGTTGGCTTATGTGAGGGCAGCGGGCTGGGGGCAGCATGACGGAAGGCGTCACTCCCACATGGAGTTCTCGGCTGTGTCTGCCACCCCGTTGTGGCCGCCCAGGATGGGGCTTCCGGAGGAGCCACCCAGCTGAGTGGATGGGGGTCGCGGCCTCGAGCCCAGGGCTCCCTGTGCATGTCGGCATCCTCCCTGCCCAGCGGCCTGAGCGGGAACCAAGCCTCGGCCTCCCCCAGCCCACCAGTGGGGGCTCACTTTGGTACGACTAGTTTAAGTCGTGTTCCTCACTTGAGTGGGACATGGAATCGATTCCGGCCAGCCACCCTCCTCTCTGACAGTAGCAGCTACTCTTGCCCTGCTCTCGGTTACTGCCGTGACCTCTGAACAGCGCACACTCATTATCTCAGTCGTGCAGCTCAGAATTCCACCCCAGCTCCCTCTGAGCTAAAATTGGGGTGAGGCTGAGCTGTCTTTTTCCGAAGCTCTGGAGAACGTCCCCCGGCTTGCCCTTCCTGGCTTCTAGAGGCACCTGCATGCCTTGGGTCGTGACCTCTCCCTCCCTCTTCAAAGCTGGCTCAGAGCACCCCTCAACACATCCCTTCTGTGACTCTCCTCTCCCCCTCTTATAGCAGGTCTACTTGGAGAAGCCAGGTGTGTCCTCATCTTAAGAACAGATGAGGCACCTCCTCAGTTCCACGGGGCACCTCAGTTCCTCTTTGCCAGGCAAGCGTCTAGAGATTAGAAGGTGGACATCTTGGGGGAAGGGAGGTGGTTAGTCTGCCCACTGCACCCCCACTTCTTTTTCCTTCCTTTTATATCTACTCTGTGGTAGAAAATATTCATCAGAATCAGAAAATACATCGTGTGCCTCCTCCCACCCCCTTCCTCAGCATAAACAAACATTACTGAGAGCTCAGGAGTCTGTTTCAGGAATCCAGATGAGGTCTGAGAACTACAGGCAGACGTTACTCATCTACTGCGGTTGACTTGCAAGAAGAAACCAATTTGCTCTTGGAGATCTAGATATAGAATATACAGGGTATAATCTGTGTCAGGAAACACTGTGATAAGGACAAACTCCTGCATTCCTTTTTTAAATTACTTGTTTTTATTTATATATTTATTTTAAAAATCAAGGTAATATGTCCTCGCTGAATAAGATTGGGAAAATCCTTTTGGTCCTTTTCTTGTAGAATTTAGTCAGGATTGAGGTCATCCTGTAAATCTGCTTTTTTTTTTGATGGAGATTAAAATGTCAGTTTTACTGCTAATAAGACTCTGTTGGAGAATGTGACCTCCGTGAGTTGCCAGATGGCTTGCTGAGAATGTTTCCCTTTGGGAGTTAGAGGAGCCTCCTAGTCCAGCACAGGACCAGAGAGCATTAGGCGTGACAAGCGCTGACTTTTTATTTGTCATTATTTCATAGGTGTTGTCCCATTTCATGAAAACACACATATAGATACTCTTCATGGCACACAGACATGTGACGATGTGCGTTGTGGTGTCGTGCAGAGAAGAGTCAGTGTCCTGAGAATCCTCCTTGTACCGCCTGTAAAACCACACTAAGAGACCATGACTGACTGCTCAGTTTAGTAAATATTCAGAAGCCTGCAGCACACTGCTCGCTGAAGCTGTGAGGAGAGAGCCATCCTCTCATTTGCTGTCTTTGGGAGTGAAATGGCTGCATCCCTGAGGAGGTCTGTTTGGCAGGATCTATCAAAATTGCAGATGCGTGCGGGGCATGCCTCAGCAGCACCGCTGGCCAGGTCGGCTTCTGCAGCTGCCCTTGCAGATGCAGGAAATGGAGCTGTGAGGGCTGTTGGTTGGAAATAACTGTGCAGTGTGTGTGAATCTAAGGGTCAGATCAGCAGGGAGGCACCCAAGCACCAGGGCAGAGGAGCATGACACAGAACAAAGCAGGCTCTCTCCTCCCCTCTTGGTTAAGCTTCTCCGTGCTTGTGCCTGTGATGTGTTCTCTTTGCTCAGGGAGTCATAGTCACCTGATTCCACTCATGTGGTACATTCCTTGAAGTGTTCCTGACCCCATAAATATATTACTTAACACAGAGTACCTTTCCCCAGGTGCATTTCTCATACAGAGCTCTTCATAAATCTGCCGCCTTCTTGGAGCAGAGCAAATGTCTCTCCTGAGTGGTGCTGCCTGCACTGTTGGGCCTGTCTGGCCCCAAGGCTGACTCCCTGGCTAGGGTCTCATCCACACTCTCCTCCCTTCATCTTCTCTTGTACTGCTCCCCGCCCTTCGGAGGCAGGAGATATCTCTGGGCCCAGGTGCTAGAGGGAGTTTGCACTTTGGGCCTTTGCTCTGGGAGGTGCTGACTGCACCGAGAGGAGACTTCTGGAAAGCCGTCCAGACATTTGGGTGAATGTGCAAGTCTGCAGAAAGTACAAATCACTCTTAGGTCAGCAGTTTTCAAAATCTGTGCATTTTGGAAACTGTTCCATGTGACTTAATGCTGACCTCTCCTTCTTAGAATCCTTCATTTCTGGAACCAGCTGGGCGTGCTACACCGAGCTCCATCAGCCGCTGCCTTGACTTGGGGAGGGTGACTGGCCTCTCCTGGGCCCTCTAACCTTCAGCTGTGTTGTTTCAAAAGGGAAACTGGCCGGACCATCATCTTGAAAAGACACTGTTAAATTTATGTTTGACATTTACCTAAACTCAATCAAATCTTCAAAAATGTATGGCTTGAAGCTTGAGGAGTCAAATGAAAATCCGTAGTCAAATTAAAATCTACATAACTAAAGTATTTTCACAGAAATATTGAGAAGGGATATTTCAACCGCTGGTTTTATTACCTTTTGACGAACTTTTCCTTAGTATTACAGGTGGAGTACGTGGCCCCACAATTTAGCATTTAGAGTTTTAAGAGACAGCATAAGTGCAAATAAAGTACTGAATGTTCACCTGAATTTTTGAGGCAAAGCCTGTGGAAGCTTACTGTTGGTTCTGTTCCCTTCTCTGCACTGGTGTGCCAGGGGCTATGCTGGGCAGGACTTGGGCAGAACCCGGCCTCTGTCCTCGGGCTCACTGGTCTGGGGAAGCCATGGACTCAGGGGAAGCAGCCGCAAGCACGTTCACGGCTGTGAGAAGTTCACATGCTGTGTGCTGGGGAGGCCCAGCCAGCTGACTAGTGATTCCAACTCTGTGCTTACGTAAAAACCCTGTTGTAATCAGGTGAATTTAATATTCTATCACGTAAAACCTATAGCTTTTAAAACCTGTAGCAATTGGCAAACCCATCTGATTGACTGATGTCTGCCAGTCATGGGGAGTGAGTGTCACCCTTCCTTTTGTTCCTGATCATGGAACAGGCCCCCAGGGCTGGTGATTTTGTCCATGTGAAGCAGAAGCGAGTCGTGTATACGGGAGACACCAGACATCTGAGCCCGAGGGGCTGAGATGCCGACTTGAACGGAGGTGATGTTTGGAGGTCGGCCAGGAGGGGGCTGTGCAAGCCGTTTGCTCCTGTTTTCCAGTCTGGACGTAGTGGGCAAGGAAGCGGAAGGAGGCACGTGCCTGCATCGGCAGCCTGGTGAGAAGCACCTTTTAGAAACAGTTCCAGGTGAGCCTCAGAAACTTGCTACCCCCAGATGCTTCATCTTTCCGTCGGAAAGCTCCACCACGAGGCTGAGTGTTCAGCTCCATGTCTGTCAGGATGAAGAAGACACGACAGCCCCACGTCAGGCACGACAGCAGGTGCTCCCTGGATGTGGTCTGCCTGGCCCCCGGAACCCTGAAAAGTGGGTACTGCGATCCCCACTGTACATGAAGAAACCGAGACCCACAGCCCAGGGAGGTGCCTACTCAGGAGCCATCCCTTAGGGCGGTCGCAGTCCCTGTCCCTGCCGCCAGGGCTGCCTGCCCGCCGCCCGAGTCCACCTTCGCGTCCTGGAGCCAAGCAGGGAGTGTCCCCCACCTCTGCCCTGACTCATGCGACGCAGTTAGACGCGTGGCTGTCAAAACGCAGCAAAGACTTTAAGCAAAATTCTGACTGACATAAACTCAGCCGCCAGAACATGCTCCAAGTTGCGAGGAAATTACCGAGCCACGGGGCAGAAGCCAGGAGTCTGGGGTTCTGTGGGTGGCGTCGCGCGGCTTCTCGGGCTCAGCTCCTGGCTCTGCGCCTCTCTCTTCCTCTGAGCATGTGCCTGTGTGTGAGGCGGAGGAGGGGAGGCCTCGGGGACCGGACACCCCTGAAATGTTCTGAACTGAGATGTCTGTGCTGAAAGCCCTCGTGCCATCCCCCGTTTCTGTGTAGTCCAGATTTTCAAAGCACTTCTCGGGGAAAAAAAATGGAAATTATCGTATGCTAAATGACAGTTCTGTATAATTGTGTCCAGTCTGTCCTCTGGAAATACTGCATCTTTGACAGCAAGCGATTACCGAGAAATCAATACTCAGAGACCACTGAAGAGTCCACTAAGCTCTGGCATGAAGAACAATTAGTGCGATTGATTTGCTGTTATTTATTGTGAGGGGATAATTGCCTCAGCCAGGCCATGTTTTGAATCTGTGGTGCCCCCCAGTTTTCAAACATTTACTCTCTTGTTTAATTTGCACCTGGTGCCCGGCTCCCGTCGGCTCCCGTCGGCTCTAGGCCAGAGCTGCACGGAGGGGCTGTGTGAGACCTGGGAAAGGGGGGTTGTGCTGTGCTCTCTCGAGGGGAATACCGGGAGCGTCTCCTGGAAGGCGCTGCAGCGGGAGACGGGGAACTCGTGCCTGTCTGAATCCTGGGAAACACTCAGGGTGGGGCCGAGTCCTCCTAGCACTTTGCTGGCCCTGCGCTGGCCCTGAGCTGGCCTGGCTGCCTCCTTTCCATAGCCACCACCTTATTTCTGCCCAGACAGCTATCACTCTCAAAGCCGGCCTCGTATGCGTGCTTAAGACGCAGGCTCTTCTGTTCTTAACTGTCCTCTCCAGCACCACACACAGAGCCCAGGGCAGAGTAGGGAAAAGAAGTTTAATTCATGTCTGGTCTGACTGTAAAGCAGACATGGGCCTACACTTGAAGCCACGTGCACGCCTGGGGTCAGCCCCGGCTGCTGCCAGCCCTGCACGCGGGAAGCCAGAGCAGAGCCCCCGCCGGGCTTTCAGGACCCGGCCCCACTCAGTCTTCCCGCGTGGTCAGGCTGTTTCCCTTCTGTTGCCGCTGGAGCCCAGCTGCTGTGCCCTGCCGGTCACCTGCGTCCCTCCCTGCCGGTCACGAGACTGTCCAGCGCAGGCACACCTGAGGCTCTTGGTCCCGGTTCCGGTGTGACCATCCGTCTCACCAGCCCGGTGGGCTCGCGCTGGCCTCTGTGTGGTTTCATTCTGTTTTCGTCCTGTCCATGCAGTCGAGTCCCTCCTCACGTGTTCTCTGGCCATCTGGATTTCTTTCCTCCTCCTTTTTGTTCATATGTTTTGCTGCTTTTCTACTGTTTTGTTGTTTTCTTGTGTGTGTGTAGGGGGTGGGGGTGGTCGGAGATTCTTTGTATGTTCTGGGCTTGGGCTTTGTTGGGTTCTCTGCTGTCACACACAGCGCCAGGGTCTGGGTCACTGTCCTCAGGAGGGGCCGCCAGGGAGGCCGGAGACCAGGCCCTGGGCGTCTGGTGGGCATGGGACTCAGTGTCCGGGCTTGGTCCGCCGCCGACACTCAGCAACTGTCCCAGGGAGGTGCTCTTGGGCCACCGTCAAGCTCACCACCTGAGACCAGTTTTCTTGTTTGTTTTTTAATCTACTTAACATTTAAAACGTGCAGTGTCGTGTAGAAGTCCTGGTAGACACGACATTTATGAAGAAAACACGAAGCAGGCACAGCCCAGAGGTGCCTGCTGCTCCCTGTGGGTCGTTCCTTTCTCCCTGCGCCTTCAGCCTCCTGGGCCTCATCACCTGCCCCGCTCACAGCTGGCCTTTCACACGTGCTGCCAAACCTGAGGCGCTGCTGTCCTGGCCGCCCTGGTGCACACTGGCCAGGACAGACGCAGAAGAGCACCGCAGAAGCTCTCCTCCGGGTGAGCGCCTCCCGCTGGCCGGGAGCAGAAGCCAGCCCGGCCGCCGCTCCGTCCCCAGCCGGCACCGGTGTCTCCCCGTCTGCAACGCTCCTGCAGGCCGCGCCTGCTGCCCACGCGCAATCGGATTAGCCTCTCCTTAACGTGGTTAGGTGTCTTCTAATCAGGTTTTTCAGAACCAGCTTCACATATGAGACGGGGCTTCCTGTCCTCTCCAATTTCCTTCCTTCCGTTTGAAGAACAGCCTGCTTCTCTCGCGGTCCTGCCTCCGGGCCAGAGGCGGCCTGAGCGCACACCATAAATTACTTCCTTCTCGAGGGCTGGTGTCCTTGAGTCCTGTGTCTCGCTCAGAAACCGAGTTCTGTGATGTAGTTGGCCTGGCTGCTGTCCTGCTGGTCTCTAAGCCCGCCTCCTCGCGTGTCTTCAGAGAACAGTCTCTCTCCTCGCGTCCCCAGGTGGGCGAGGGCGCCCCTCGGAGCGGCAGGTCAGTAGCCCTAGACTGGCCGTGTTGATGATGCAGCCAGGCCTGGCGCCTGGCAAAAGGCAGGGGAAGGCCACGCACCCCCTCCGCCTCGGGCTGCCCAGTGAGCGCCCCAGCAGAGATGTGGCAGCACCCCAAAGGTCTGAACTTGTTTTTCTTGAAACAGTGGTGACTCAGTTACCACTACTGAGGAGAGAGGGTCCCTCAAAGAGAAGCTGGGGCATAGTGGGGCTCACGTCAAAGGCTGTGATAGCGGAAGGAGCAGCAGCACAGACCCATGGAGGGGAGAGCCCGGCAGGCTTATCCTTCTGATCCCCCCGCTGTTGGGCAGTGGAAGGGCCGCTGGCCAAGGTTGGCCTCCCTGCCTCTAAGGGAGGCTGAGACCAGACTGCAGAGGCCACGCAAGGAAGCCTCCCCGGGAGGGGAGATTGGCCAGAGCATCCCCCGGAAGCACCTTCCACCGTTGCAGAGTTGAAGATCCTCGTGGAGACCCGCAGCTCGGGCACTGGGTTCCCCTGTGGGCTCACCTGGGCCATTGTGGGCTCTGCTGTCGCTCTGGCAGCTCTTCTCCGGGGTGGGGAGAAAGAAACTGAAGCTCTCCTGGGGCAATGCGTCTGCGCTGCCGCGGGAGGATGGGGTTGGCCGTGGGGCCTGCAGTCGGTTTGCGGGCCGGTCTCGTTTGTCTGCGTCTTTGCCCACCAACCACCCAGCGCCTGCAAAACAGCACATGCACTGTCCTTTTGGTTTCTGCGTAAATGCTGACATCCCAAAGATACTTTCACCCTGTTGGCTTCCGTAGAGATGAAAGCACTTAAAACGTTTTCGCTTTTATTTTAGCTTTAGAAAGGCGGGGCCGTGGCACGTCAGACCTCTTTCTGTCTATCAGAGCGTCCTTGGGGCTGGAGCTGACCAGCCCCTGTCAACACAAGGGGGGGGGACGCAGGGGAGGTGGGGGGGATTGAAAGGGAAGGAAAGAAAGGAGAGAAAGGAGGACAGTAGCCTCCTATTGGGGACCTGGCACCATCGCTGTCACGCGGTCACTCCCCAGAGGCAGCACTGGACATCCGGGTCAGTGTTTTCCCGGGGGTGTGCCCCAAGGGAGCGTATCTGCACCTCGCAAGCTCTCTGGCAGGCGGAGCTCAGAGGGAACAGTAGTGAAGGGGGCTGTTTTGGGGGGCTGCACCTCTTGCTCTTTCCGAGGGACTTGACCTCCCTGGGCTCAGCACCCCCTAAGCCTCCCCCGTGTCCCCACAGCCTTTCCGCTGCGCCCACTGCCACTACTCCTGCAACATATCTGGCTCCCTGAAGCGGCACTACAACAGGAAGCACCCCAACGAGGAGTACGCCAACGTGGGCACTGGGGAGCTGGTGGCGGACGCGCTCCTGCAGCAAGGTAGGTGCCCCGGCCGGCAGGCCCAGAGCCTGGGAGGGGCTGCTGCAGCTCAGGTCAGCCCGAACCCAAGGGCGTTCAGCTGAAAGTCTCCATCTCCCTGACCCTTGTCCTCGCTCACGGTCATTTACCTGCACTGCTGGGAGAATATTTGCATTTAGGTTGAAATCTAAATTGCAAGAAGTGCTGTGTGGCCACACACTTCACATCCCCCCTCCCCGTGACGTCATCGGTCAGTGTCGAGACCCCCTCTTCTGTGCCTGCGTTTTCACAAGTGGGCGTCCCTGCCCTCCCGCTCACATCAGGGACGGGCAAGGCTCCGCTGTCCTGTCCCCATTACAGCTCCCAAAGGCTTTGTGTGACAGAGCACCACGTGCAAGTTCTGACTTTCTTTAACCCTGCTCTTGTTGCTGAACATGGTGGGGTTTCCGATTTTGTTTTTCGTCACAGTTATCAATGATGCCATGTAAGCATGTTTATGGGTGAGCTTTAGATTACCCAGCGTTTGATGACTTATTGATTATTCAGCTTATTTACCCTGAAAAGGAAAAGCCATTTAGAACTTTTAACCTGAGGATGGGTAAAAAACTCTACTATTGAAAAGATTGTGGGTTTTTTTTTGGGGGGGGGGTTCCTTTTTCAGTAAATAATCCCTTAGCAGCTTCAGCTCAGGCACTGTCACCGCACAGGGAATGCAGTTGTTTTCGTGTCTGCACCCCGGGGCTTGAGCTGAAGCATTTTCGCTCCCAACAGCATGTCCGTTGCGACTCTCCCGAGTCCTATGACTGTCTGAGGCTGGACAGGCCTAGACCTGTCCCCGCCCCCCCAGCAGAGGCGGCCCCCGCAACTCTCGCTACTGGGGTACGGAGCGTCTGCAGGGTCAGTGTGAAGCCCCGCTTATGCTCGTCGCCCCAAAATGCATCTTAGAGTGAAACAAATGAACCAAGTGGTCCCTCAGCACTTCAGCAGCAGGGCCGACGGGCCGACATAGATGAGCAGCAGAGGAGCTCAGGGTACTGGACTGCATCCGCCTGGGGTGACGGGCGCCTGCGACCTGTGTCTGCTTTAATGGCCGCTGTGGAGCTGCGGGTGGGGAGGGGAGAGGCTCAAGCCTGCGTCCTCCTCTGTGCCGTCGGCACGTTCGTGAACCTCTTCGCCAAGGACGGGGGCACAGCAGCCTGCTCACCTGCTGGCGAGAGGCCCAGATGAGAGCACGTGCGAGCATCGCTATGGAACGCCTTTTCCTTCCCTTCTTTTATGTTTTTTTTTTTTTTTTCCTGAAAATATCTAAGCTCTTTGGAGCCATTGCATTGTTTTGGATGATCCCCCACCCCATGTCCGGGAATCACGGGGCAGAGAATGGATGGCCTTGGCGGCACAGTAAATAACTGGAGGAGCTGGCTGGAAGCTGCTTTGAACATCCTTCACACCCGTGGGGTGGATTGGCAGGAAATAGACGTTCGCCGTGGCGGCTGGGCCGGGCGTGGGATCTGATTGATGATGCCATCAGTGGCCGGTGCTTCCAAACTTTCATCACTGCCTTGCGGAAAATGTGCTGAGGTTCGGCCGTTTCATGCCCTGAGTTTTCAGTTAACTTTGGCCAGTGCTCCATACTCGGTGACCCCTCCTCGACAGGCTCTGGGTTTTATTTTTAATCTTTGCATGAGTATTTTTGGTCTTCTTTCACACACACACACACATCCCAGATATATTTCAGATCTAAACATACACTTTCATGCGCTTACAAATATCCATTTATTTATATGGATTTAATTATAGATTGCACATTTATTTGTATATGCTTATTATAAATACATGCACATATACATTAATTCTCCTTCAGGGGACTTGTTGAGGAAGGAGCCATGAGAGACATTGTGTTTTGGTGGGAGGTCTGGCTCTGAAATCAGAGAACTGGGTTTGTGTGCAGTTTAGGGCTCTCTCGAGTGCAGAGCGCGGGCCTGGACCAAAAACTGTGTCTGCAAACACCGAGTCACTTGGCCCCAGGGAGTGCAGGCCAAGCCTGGGCTCCCATCTCAGGGTGAGGGGTCCTGAGGTCCAGTTCAAGCCTGACTGTGGCCTGTGACAGTTCCTGGAGACAAAAACCTTCCAGGTGTGCCGACAGCCTCCAGGGACAGACTTGGCTTTTGGAAGCACCACTCGCTCAGAGTGACTTTTGTCCCGTCACTAACTCAGTTGCTCCTTCTGATGGGATTTTAGGAAAGATAGTCTTTTGTGGGATTTTTGGATTTTTTCTTTTTTTTAACTAGTGTCTTACACTGTCTTAAAGCACTGAAACCCTTCTGGAACACGTGCAAAATTTAAGCAGTTAAGTAAGTAGGGATATTTCAGGATGTGGCCTGTTTTCACACTTGTCCTTTAATGGGAAGTTCACCTGGGCTTTGTGGCAGTGGCGAGCTGGTGTGAGGGGCTGAGACCCGGAAGAGCAGCCGCTGCCTTTGGTTTGCTGTGTTTTCTAAGTGGTTTGTTATTTTCAAGTGAAAGAACGATGGAACACTCCCCACTCACCCCTTCGGCCAGAGAATTATGTTCCACGTCTTATTTCTCTCTGATACCTGCACTGTGAAGTGTAGTTAGACCCTGCAATGCTTATCCACTGTGTGCAGAATTCTCTGCCTGAAAAGCACGTGGTGGCGGCCACTCTGCCCTGGCACAGAGCTGGCGTGAAGTCAGTATAAGCACCGGAGACAGACGCCTGCCTCGCACTTGGCCTCGGACCAAGGCAGGGCTGCTCCACACGCTGTGGTCACTTCTGCCCGTCTCTGTTTTCAGGTGGTCTGAAGTGTCCTGTCTGCAGCTTTGTCTACGGCACCAAATGGGAGTTCAACCGGCACTTGAAGAACAAGCATGGCCTGAAGCTGGTGGAAAGCGAGGGTGATCCCAAGTGGGAGGTAACTTTTTCAGGCTTGGGGTTGATGGCGGCACTTCTGGACCCAGATGACTGCCCAGGCCAGCCCCGGGGTGACTGTCCTGGGAGCCTGGGCTTGCTGGCTGGGCAGCTTGGAGAGCTTTTCATATCTGCGGGCTGGAGCTGGGGTTGGGGCCTCCTGTGGCTTCTTACTCTGGGGTTCTGGGTTCTGTGAGCGTCGTGTCGCCCCCGACCTTTCTGCCTGTGTTATTCCCTCCTCACGGCAGCTGCTCATGCGCAGACAGGGCTGTCGCGTTGTGCTTCATGGGGCTCCCGAGGGCATGGCTTCTTCCTGCCCAGTGACCATCCGTCAGGTCATTGTGGGCGCCCATTAGGTGTAGGCTGGAAACACCTGCATGCCCCTGGCCCCTGGCTGTGAAAGAAGCACCCCTGCTGTCCCGAGCCCTGTCAGTTCCCGCCCACTGGACGTGGTGACATTGGCTCTTGCAGACTCTGAGCGACATCCTCCTGGTCCTGTACGGGGACTTTCCTGCTTGCCACGTTACATTTGCTTTCCCCCACCCCCTCCCCAGGGGAGGCCATGCCAGTGTGTGGCTCTGGGGGAGACTCTCCTTGAGGAGCCAGGGCCTGTGAGTGTCGCGTCAGCTCCCCTGCTCTTCCCATTGTGCACAGGGAGCCTCCGTGGTGGCATGTGCTTGTCGTGTCCACCCCACGCAAACAGCGGCACTGGTCTCCCAGACTTCCCGAGTGCACACGCTTGACCAGGCCCATGAGCTGGCGCGTGCTCCGTGTGGGCATGGCCCACCCTCTCCACCCATTGTGGCCGCTGGGCACAAGGCCCCAGGCTGGGCATGGCCACAGCTGGCCGCAGGGGGATGCAGGAGGGTGAGCAAGGAGTGTGCACAGGCACATGTGGGGTGTGGAGCCTCTCGTGAGGAGTGGGCCCCCATCCCCTGGCTGTGGCAGTAGGCGCCCCGCAGACCAGGCCTGGAGCCTTTGGGAAGCGTGCGTTTACGGGAACAGTTCATCTCTCTGGGACACCAGGGAACAAGATGGCGCAAAGCGTCCCTGGGGTGCGTTTGTCTCAGCTTAATGCCTCACCCTGGGACCTCTTGGCAGCTGGTGAGCTTCCAGAAGGGCACAGATGATACTAAGTTCTTTTCAGCCCGCAGCAGAAACTCCCGAGGAGCCCTCCACCCAGTATTTGCACATCACGGAAGCTGAAGAGGACGTTCAGGGGACCCAGGCGGCTGTGGCGGCGCTGCAGGACCTGAGATACACCTCTGAGAATGGTGAGGACCCCTGGCCCCGGCACCTGGTGAGGGCCCCTGGCCCCGGACACCCTGAGTGGATGGATTTGAGGAAGTGCTTCCAGCAGTGACCTCTTTCCTGACCCCTGACCCAGCGGCCTGCCGGCAGAAGCACTCCTGTTTCAGGCTGGAGGCTCTGCCTTTGAAATGTTCTGGAACGGCCTCTGCAGAGACCGTGCCTTATACGTGTGGCTCCCCAGAGCAGGCTGTGGAGAAGCAGGTCTGGCTGTCCCCTCTCAGCAGGTGCGCAGCGTGCTCTGCCGGAGATGCACCCGAGGGTGCAGGCGGAGAGGTCCCAGGTCTCAGTGCTGAGAGGCTGTTAGCTCCTGCACTTCCTCAGGGTCAGCATGTCGGACAGGCAGCGCCGTCTGCATGAGGAGACCCTGCCGGAGCAGAGGGCACAGCCTCTGCCTGCAGAGTGGGGCCCAGGGAGCCGCTGCCCAGTTCTCCTGGAAAGCCTCAAGTCAGGGTTTTGTGTCAGCCATTCTCATTTTCAACATCAGAGCAGCTACAAGCACACACCACAGTGCCAGCCTAGTGGTGGTCGGCTGTGGTGCGTGGAGACATTTTCTTCATGCTGTTTTCCAAATGGGGACAGACCCCAGCTAAGGGGAGGCCCACAGTCCCCTATGGGTGGGGGGCTAGGCAGAAAGCACCCAGGGAGGGCCAGTGGAGAGGAGATGGGCATCAGGAAACCGGCAAGTTCGCCTTGTTCTTAAATCCCGAAGCCCCATGTTGTGGGAAAACTGCACCGAACCCTCCTTTGTGCCAGGCACTTCAGGGAAGATTAACTGCCAGGGCTGTGCTCATGGCCTGCTGAGCCGGAGGAACTGGGGAGTCAGCACTCCCGCCTCGCAGCCCATGACGGGGGCAGCTCAAGGCCCTGCTGTTAAAAGTACTTCCCAGAGCTGAGGCCTTGTCTGAATTTGTGTTTCCTTCCTTCACGTTCAACACTTCAGTGATGGCTGACACCCTGCCAAGGCAGCTTCCCTGTCCTCACCAGCCTCCTGTACACACACACACACACACACAATCACATGTACACAAAATCACATACATGGAGGCAGACACACAGTCACAGATACACAAACAGTCACAGACACAAACAGAGGTACACACAGACACACACACACAAGCTCACTGGCCCCTTCAAAACCTCTCTTCCAGCTCTTAGAATTCAGCTCAAACTCAGTGAGCCAGCAAGCCAGGGCCACCCTCCGGGGGCTGGCCCTGCACTGACCCTCGCCACCTTTGAGCTGTGTGCTCCTGGGTGGCCTTTGTGTCCTCACGTGACTCGCTCGGCCCTGGCCTGTCCTCGGCCCCGCTCCAAGCATGTGTTCTGACAAACTCATCTTCCCTGTTCAGCTTGTATGTCCTCAGCAGGAACCCCACTTTTCTAGCATTCCCTGAATTGCCCTCCCGATATGGCACTGACCAGGTGCTGGAATGATGTGCTTGCAAATGTCTCAGCAGCCTGTGAGCCCCCAGGGAGAGGACGAGAGGCGTGTCAGCTCTTTGGGCTTCCACTGGGAATCTGGCGCCCCTGGCAGTTGGGCTTGATAAAAGGTTGAGAAATGAAAATCTTAGCTCAGTAAGTTTTTAAGGTTAATGTTATAGTTTGACCTTGGATATTTGCAACGGTCACTGCAGAAGGTCACTGCAGAACTCCTTTGCAGCATCTCCCTTGAGGGGCGAGTGTGTGCATGCGCATGCATGGGGATGCTCGGCCGAGCACTGCCATACACGCAGGGCCCACCCTCTCCATCGAACACAGCAGGTCCCTGCCGTCTCATCTCTGCCGGATTGGCTGTCTCCCTCAGGAAACTGTCCGTGAGATTGCAGACACTGGCAGAGACTGTGCAGTTGCACAAACGTGCAGATCAGGTGGCAGTTTCCCCTCTCTGAGCTGTGAGACCAGGGCCAGCGAGCTGTGTCTGGGACAGGCACAGGTGCTCAAGCAGATAGAGTGGGCAGGCGGGCTCACTCAGTGGCTGCCCTGGTGGTATGGATCCCAGTCTTTTGAGGTGACCAAAACAGAACCCGACCTTAACTTGGTTGGTTCGGCGGGGGAGACCTCTTGGGCGCTGCTCCCATCACTGCCTCTCAGTGGGCACGGCCTTCCGGCACCTCCGTGTCTGCCCCAGGGGACCTGGCTTTGCAGCCGGCCCGGAAGCTGCTGCTTCTCAGGCCTCTGCTTGTGTTTGGATTCAGAACATCTGCACTTGAGTTCTGACCTGGGGATGTAACCGATCCAATGGCCCAAGGCAAGTCTCTGCGTTTTCGCACAGAAGTGTTGGTTTCAAAATTGGGACAGCGTCAGCCTCAGTGATCCCCTTAGGGCCCTGGGATGTTGGACAGGCAGTGCCTCTCAGCTCCTAAGTGCCATCCAAGTCATTGCTGTTGCCCAGTGAGCCCTGACTGAGGGCCTGTGCACCCTCTGGGGAGGACCCTCCCAGGAGTGACCTCTGTCCTGGGCTGTTTTTGTGACCGCCAGCTCCACGGCCTTAGTGGTCTCCTGTTTGCTTTTCCTAAGGCGACCGGCTTGACCCCACAGCTGTGAACATCCTCCAGCAGATCATTGAGCTGGGCGCTGAGACGCACGATGCCGCTGCCGTGGCCTCGGTGGTTGCCATGGCGCCGGGGACAGTGACTGTGGTGAAACAGGTAAGGGCCCTCCCCTGCGCCCCCGGTTTACCTCCTCACCCCGACGCACAGCCCCTCCCGAGCCCCCTTAGGTTCTCAAGGCTTTAACTCACCTCAGGTCAAATTTGGTAGGAAATGGGTCTCGTCTCGCACATTTCCTCATTCTCCCTCCAAAAACTATGGAATTGCGTCTTCAGTAGCTCCTGGATGGGGTGTGTTGTAGGGGAGAGTCACGGAACATTTAAAAAAATTTGGAAACTTTTCATTCATTTCCTTCCCAAGAAGCCCAGAGTGGGAGTGAGCGCAGGTGGAGGCACTGGACACACACGGAACAAGCAGCCAGTAGACCTGGGAGTGGGGGGGGGGTGCCGCGGGATCAGGAGGGCCTCCAGGGACGCCTCAGGTCAGCGCAGCCGAGAGGAAGGAGGTGTTGCGTGCGGATAAGGTCGCTCCCCTCCATGCAGTCTGTGCATTTCCTCCTCTTCTGTCCTCAGCCTTTCCATCCGCTCAGGCGGCTGTTTGGTAATGAGATCATCCTGTCTGTCTGTCTGTACCTGTCTCTCCACTCTCACCCGCGTCACGTTATGGAAGATGGAAGCCGGCTGCGTAAAAACTCAAAAGCAGCAGCAAACACGTCAGAACTGGGACAGACCCAGGCTGGGGTGGGGCCCCGGCCCCGGCTCATGCAGCAGCGGCTGGGCACCGCAGACCTTCACACGGCTTCCCATTGGGTCGTGGGGCAGATCTCTGACCATTGAGCCGAGGCCTGGACGAGGGGTGTTACTAGAATTACCCCAGTTTGACTGAAAATTTGGTACCACATCGTGCAACAGTGAACGAGGAGGAAGCCTAAAGCAGATAACTCAGGAAAGGGGCAGGGTTTTCTTGGCATTAACAAAGGTATTTACAAAGCTGCTCCTACTGGGGACCCTGAGTGAGGTGGCCCCAGCACCTGCCTTTGATGAATCAGAGGCAAGCTCCCCAGTACTGTCTCCTTCCTGGCCCCCCATGTATGCCCAGAACACAGGGCACGGCGTGAAACTCAGGCTGAGTAATTCTCAGGACTATCGCTACATTCTGGGGCACCTCGCTGCGGTCAGGACTCGGCTCGTCCATGTGCATGTTTGCACGCATGACTTGGGGTGGGGGTGGAGGGGCACGAGGCAGTGCCAGCAAGCACAGGGCATGTGCCCTGTCGATTCAGGCAAAGGGGCATCCTGGGCCCCCCAGTGGCTTTTCCAGGCTTTAAAACTCTTTCTCCGCCAGTTGCTGTGGGGCAGGCCCGCAGGCTGGCAGGGCAGGGAGGCCGGGGCGCCGGAGCTTGGGCTCTCTCCGGGGTTCTTTTGTGGTCATCCTCTGTAGCTGTTTCTGCGTGACACTGCCCTTGTAGCCTCAGCGTCCAGGCTCAAGTGTGCCCACTCACGCATGGCCACACCACACTCCAGGCACGGGTGCCCGCGCCCGCGCTCCCCAGCACCTCCTGCATTAGTCCATCAGGGCTGCAGGTGATAGCCACAGAGGCCAGCGGCATAGAAGCCGGAGCGAGTCACTTCCCCTGCAGTGACCTGGGCATCCTCCTTCCTAAGCGTGGCTCCTCGCAAGGAGGTCTTGGGCAGAGGCTGGGCTGCAGACTGGCTCAGTCTGCAGGGGCCAGTGTTCCTGTTGGCCTCCAGGCCAAACGCCCCCCAGAGCTCTTGGCGCTTATGAGATCTCCATCCCCAGCTTGCCTTTCAGAGCCCGCTGAGGCTCCTCTCCTGCACGGTGACGACCCGGCCCGGCGGGGACGGGAGCATTTGTTCATTCCATGCATGTCAAAGGCTCATGGGAATCGTAGGAAGGTGCAACCGCTGGTGATGTTCGTCCTCTGTGTAGACTTGGATTGATGCGCTGCTCCTCAGGGACTTGATTTATTGGGGTCACAGGTCATGCGTGATCCAGAGGCTGCGAGATGGGGCCCAGCTTGGTTGTGCTTCAGGCTCCAGGCTGACAGCCCCACAAGGAATGAGGCAGATGAGCATGTTCAGTGATGTAAACAGGCTCAGGGAACAGGGGGGCCCTTCAGGGGATCTTCTTGCTGATTGAAAACACAGGCTGAGGAGTGTCACTGCTGAGGCTCCAGAACTGCATCTGGAAATGTTCCCGAAGGGTTTCCTGACCACCGTGTGGTCCGCCTGGCTTGGCACCCTGCCCTCTGAGCTGTCGACACATGCTGGCCGGAGAGTGGGTGACTGGACGATGGGCAGGACCAGTGCTGCCGTGCACCCGGCTTGCCCAGGGAGTGGAGTGCCCTCCAGACTCAGCCGGCCTGCCTTTTAATTTAAATGTTGCTGTTTTAGTAGAGAAATGGGTCTTGATTTTTCTTCTTTTAATTAAACTCTGGCTTAGAATTTTTCAGTAGGGAAATTACATCTGCTTAACAAATACGCTTAAGTCATGAACCCCAGGGCACCGACGGGTAAGCACCCAGGCTCTCCCTTCCCCGCCATGCGGGGGCCAGTCCGGGGCTCCACCCTGGTCCCGCCCAGGCCCTCACGCTCAGTGCTCCATAAGTCAGCAGATGTCTGTTGAGTAGGATCGAGTGGCTCTTGTGTTTTGATTTTCCAATTATGTCCTGGAAATCAGTACCACAGAAAAAAGCAGCAGCACCTCGCCGGGAGACGTGCTATACATCGCAGAGCAAGGGCTTCACCGTTGCTGTTGGGGGATGTATTCTGAGATGACTTTCAGGTTTCCTGTGTTAGCTGTATCTCTCACAGGCCAAAACCAGTTTCTAGATGGTGCACGTGTTGGTTTGGATATTTAAAAATTTCAAGTTTTCTTTCCCATAGAAACGAAATTACATGCTCTGTTAGTAATTTAGTGTAAATGGAAAAGAATCTTATACATCACTATTTATCAATGATGCTTGAAAGTGATTAATCTCCAGTCTTTTGGGTTTTTCGTTTCTGGGATGAAAATAACGGCAGACCAGGTCGGCAGCCTGAGGGAGCAGGGAGCAAAGAACCGAACCGAGAAGAAGTATAATTTGTTTTCCTGTTTTTAAATGAGTTATGGAAAAGATTTGGCCCATAAGTGAGAGCATTTAAATTGACAGTTGGACACAGGAACATGTCCTCACTGATTTCCTGTTATTTCTCTCTTTTCTCAAGTGTGAGCATTGAAAATACGCTTGTGGGGAGGGAGCGTTTGGAGAGGCTCAGAAGGAAGAGTCCTTGCTGCTCCTCCCTGACCCCTGCCAGCGGCTCCTTCTTGAAACCAAATTGTTTTCTTTAAATAAATTGTTTCTTCCCCCCCACACACCCCATTTTGCTTTAGGATGTTCTGAGGAGGAAATTCACATTTGAACAGCAAAACCACCCAAATAGGTTAATTGTAAGACGCACCAGTGTAGGAAATAAAGTCCTATGCATCTGAGTCAACATTAGTTATTTAAAAGAAAGGAAACTTAAGAAAACACCAAGGGCCCTCACTGCTGCTTGGGGCTTCACCCCTCCCTGCTGTTCCCTAGACCAGGAGCAGGGCTGGGCTGCCCACGGTCGGCCCCTGCGGAGGGCCTTTGCCCACCACGGGCTCTTCCCAGAAGCCGAAGAATTCCTGTCTTGCCTTCTCCAGTTTCTAGAGGCAGCTGGGCTCCTTGACTTGATTCCCTCCCGCGGTCAGGGCCAGCAGGAGGCTGGTGCTCCTCACAGCCAGGCCTCTGCTCCCCAAGGCCTGCCTGGCACGGCCACTCCAGGGCCCCCCTCAGACCACCCAGCTCCCGCCCACAGTGAGAAGCTGCGCCGTGGCGGCTGGGAGACCAGGTCGGCAGGCTGAGAGTGTGGGGAGCAAAGAGGGAGAGCCCTCTGGAGGGAGGGGCCCAGCTTGACCTCGTCCCCCACAGGGCGAGTGTCCAACTTTCAAAAACTCCTGGCAAAATAATTGGGGGAGAGAGCTGGAAAGTGATGCATGTGAAGCTTCAAATTCTGTTTTCATTATTTTAAAGCAATCACTGTTCCATCAAGTTGGGGGTTTTAAACTACATAGCAAGAGACCCGAGAAAGCTGCCGCCCTTTAAAGGCCCGAGACCGCAGACAGTGCCCTCGGCATGGCCCTCAGGCGGGGCTGCCTGGGCGCTCGGCCCTTCTCCCGCCCTCCAGGAATCGAGGGATGCTCTGCCTGCTTCCTCCTCCCGTTAAGCTCAGGTTGTTGGGGAGTCGATGGCGTTCCCCCCTCTTGTTCCCACAGAAGTGCTTTTCTGGCTCACAGCCTGTCCTGGGGGGTGATGACGGAGATTCCCTCCTCCCTGCTCTCCAGTCACCTCCCCGCCCAGGGCCGAGCTTGACTTCTGCTCGTTGCCTCGAGAGCGGAGGCCTCGTCACAGCAGATTGCCCTGCCTTCCCACCCCGGGCAGCCTGGCTCTCCGGTGCTGTCACTCAGTGTCCTCGCCCATCGTGGTGTTGGCCATCCTTGGGGGCGGGCAGGGAAGCTTCCCTGGAAGATTCGGAATCCATGTAATTTTGAAAGAGATTTGTTTGTCATCCCTCACAGGTGCGTGGCCGGGGGCCCCATGCAGCCTGGCTGAGCTGTCTCGCAGCTGGGAGGGGAAGGTGGGCGTGGGAGGCCTGTGCAGAGCCCTGGACGCCGCTCCAGCGGGAGGAGCCCGGCACGAGCTGGTCTAGATTCTAGAAGAACCAGTGCGGGTGGCGGGGCCAAGAAGCCATCGCCCGAGCTGGTGAATCACACATACGGCCTGGGGCTGAGGGTTTCTGCTAAGCTATCTGCTGCTAATAATTCAGCTGCAAGATGGATTAGATCCCGCACGGGGGACATGGAGTGCCCGCCTCGGGGGATTACGATGCTGCGAAAGCCACATGATTTCTCCTGCCGAGAGCAATCTGAAGCCGAGCTGATAGATCAAGCTCCTGGAGTGATCAGTTTTTGACAGCTAGTCAGCCGTCGTCCAGCCGGCCACGAACGGGTGGGCAGAGGGAAAAGGTACCCCTGTCGGTCGGTGACATGGCATCCTGTTCGTCGCTGTCACTCATACCAGCTGAGGAAGGTCTCTGGGTCACCCAGACCACGGTCCAGCTTCTGCTGCGTTACAGTTGTTTAACTTCAGAGGAGTCACTGGACCCCTAGAAGTTTCTGTGTCCCCCTTGTGAAATGGTGACACAAGTGCCCAGGGCTTAAGACTTGGTGTGCAGGCGGTTGGGACAGCTGTGGGGGAGGGTTCCGTCAGTGCACAGGACTGGGTGACGTTGGGATCCCAAAGGACAGGGAAGGACGTGTGTGCTTTGCAGAAACACAACTGCTGAGTGTGACTCACGCAGCACTGGAGGTGCATGAAGGCGGGAGGGCCTAATGCAGATGCCTCACCAGCCCCTCTGTCAGGCAGCTCCCCACCTCCTCTTACTCTGCTTTCTGTAAAGCGCCTGCACCCACTGTGCGGAAAGGGGACCTCCGGGTGGGCGGCCTCTGCAGGACTGGCAGGATCGCTCCAGAAGGCTGGTGAGAATAGACGCAGCCCAGCACAGGCAGCAGGCGAACCATGGGACGGGGCGCCTCAGGGGTGTCCTGGATAACCAGGGTCTCCCCACTGTCTTTGCAGGGCTGCTGTGAAATGCGCATCTGCCTTTGTCTCTATTGCTCTTTTCGGTGAATTGTGTTCACAGGACCACGTTTGGAGAGTTTATGGTAATCGCGTAATTAGTGTGGAAAGAATGTCAGGGCTGGCGACAGCACCTTGGAGCTGTGGCTTTGCAGCGTCCAGCATCACCCTCTTCGGTTGTAAATGGGGAGTGGGGGGTGAGAGCGTGCAGGGAGCATTGCTGAGGGTTACGTGCCACGTGGACAAGCTCTGGAACATTCTAGAGGTTCCTAAAGCGTGGTTGTGCGTCTATTGTTATTCCAGCCGGACCTGTGTGACCTCTCTCTGCCCTCCCTCAGGTCACCGACGAGGAGCCCAGCTCCAACCACACGGTCATGATCCAGGAGACCCTCCAGCAGGCCTCCGTGGAGCTGGCCGAGCAGCACCACCTCGTGGTGTCCTCCGACGACGTGGAGGGCATCGAGACGGTGACCGTGTACACGCAGGGCGGGGAGGCCTCGGAGTTCATCGTCTACGTGCAGGAGGCAATGCAGCCCGTGGACGAGCAGGCCTTGGGGCAGCCGACCCAGGAGCTCTAGGGGACACACAGCATGGACAGGGGCCGCCGGCCAGGCGGGGCTTCAGGGACCTGGGGGCCCAAGACGGGGAGGCCACAGAAGGTGCAGCACAAGTCTGTCCTGGGGTTACATGGGGGTCTCCTTGTCTTGCTCTGAGAGGGCAAGGTGCTGCGTATCACCAGCAATACAGGACCCCCTCTAACTCAGACCACCCCCTTACCCTACAGCATCTGGTTCCAGAAGACTTGCATCAGCTCCCTGAGCATTGCCCTCGCCACATTGCCCCTTTGCTTCAAGATTCAAACAGAGACCCCCTGGCCCCCATCAGCTTCCCAGATCCCATCCCATCCCCAGCTTCTTGACCCCAACTTCATCTGCACTCTCCGCAGCCTGGGGGCAGGGACACGAGCCACCGAGCAAGTGTCCTTGGCTTTGAATCACCTCCGAGAGGAGAGGAGGGGTTCTGGCTTCATCTGCAAAGTCTCTGCTGCTCATGTGTTGGGGGACCTTGCTGTCCTATGGAGCCACCCCGATGTAACCCCGATTTGATGCCCTCCCATCCTCTGCAGGTGAGTCTCAGCCACCCACTTGGAATCTGCTTTACAAACAAGTGCGCTTTCCACTCTTCATGTCCCAGTGAGGTGGGCGGGGTACAACCAGCTCTGCCTGAGCACCCCTCTGCCGCGGGCTGTGCGGCTGGTACATCCCCCTGCCCGAAGCAGAGTCTTGGATCCCCCTGGACCGCCCCTGCTGAGACCAGGTCTTTGACATGCAGACCACGATGCCCCTGCCCTCCCAGCACTTAGATCTGCTCTGGCCATGGCCCTCAAGGCTGATGCTCTTACCCGGCGCCCAGGTTGTTCGCTGCCCACCTCGACCTGGCAGCCACCTCCTCTCGGTCCGTGCCTGGGAGAGCGGTTCCCTGACGGCCGAAGGCTCCACAGGCACCTGGTGTGACTCGGGCTTTGTCCCGGTCCCTGTGACCAATCCTGAGCCTTTGGAGCCCCTACTCTGCACCCGGGGCCTCTGTGTCCCTGCCAGCCCCGAGGCTGTGACGTTGCGACCCCTGTAGAGTCTGGGTGGGCTGTGGTTCGTTCCTTGGAGACCCCTCCCTTCTGACACGGACCTTCTAGTAGTCACAGCGGCTCTGGTGAAGGGGGTGGAGTCCACCGTCCTTGCACTTGGCCTCAGCACCCCACTGCCTGCTCCCCTCTGGGAGGAAGCTTCCGAGTGCTTGCTGTCCGCAAGGCGGGAAAGGGCCGGGTGGGCTTTGCACGCGCAGGGCCGGGGAGGCAGGGGCACAGGGGAGGGAATTCCAAAGAGAGTAACGTGGACCTGCCCCTGGTGGGCGCCGGCGCGAGCTTGAATGTTCCCACCTGGCTGCTGGGCAACTGTGAGGGGAGGAGCAGAGGCAGCCAGCAGGCAGAATCTAGCACAGGGGTGAGAGAGGACAGATGCTGATTTTATCCAGTGCCTGGGGAGGTCGCAGGTGCAGAGGCCGGAGCAGCTCTCCCGGGAGGGTGGTCCTGTCGGCAGCGGGTGGGCTGTGGTGTGAGGTTGAGCGGCCCTGCCGGAGGGAGCCCCGCGTGTCCCTCTGCTGGCCCCAGTTCTAGTTTACTCCTCCCTGAAGTGGGTCTGATGACAGCTGCTGGCTCCGGCCATGACTCACTGAGAGGGTTCACTGAGCAAGGCCTGGGGGCCCCTGCAGACCCGGCCCATGCTCTGAAATGAGCGTTCCTCGGACCCTGGGGGGGACGCAGGCGTGGGGTCGCGGTCTCCGCCCTCAGAGCGTCCCATTCTGGTGGAAGAGCCTGATGTGAACGCACAGTAGGACGACGCACTGAGTGTGCTCTGTGCTCCAGGCGAGACGGGAGGCGCCAGAAGAGCCGGGCCATGTGCCGCTGGGGCTGGGCGCACGGCCGCTCGGCAGACTGCGCGGAACCGGGGCTCAGGCCTGGCTGAGGCCTGCAGGCCTGTCACCTCGAAAACGGCACACGGTGATTCCAGAGGCTCATCCAAAGCGCGTCTCTTCTCTGTCATTAAGGACCCCGAAATCATGAGAAGATCTGGGCTAATGGCCCCGCGGGGATGGCCTGTGGGAGCCTGCTGCCCATGGGCCACCCAAGGTCCCTGTGCACGTTCACATTTCAGCGGGCTGTGAGGGAGGACGGCTCTCCAGGGGCAGCGCTGGGCGCGGGGACCGTCGCTCGGGAGGGGAGGTGGGTGACTGTGATCGGCCCTGCTGGCTCCCGTATGAAGAGTCAGTTTCACCCATAAAATGGGGTCAGTAATTCCACCCCGTTTGCCTAGTTTATGTTAAGGCTTTGCCCTGATAGCGTATGTATAATAAAGCCCCCGATACGTTGTGTTGCACATAGTAGGAACACAATAAATATTTATTTTCCTTGCTGCTGTTCAGGGTGACTTCCTTATCGAGTGCCAGTGGCAGGTCACAAAGGGAGCCTGACCCTGGTGTGTCAGGCCCGGCCTGCAGGCAGTGAGACACAGTGTCCTGGTCTCCAGCCCTGCAGCACCTCCGTCCCGCCCACCGGCCCCAGTGCGCCCTCATGCACCCCCGACCTGGCGGCCAGGCACAGGCCCGGGAACTGAGGATGCAACTTACCAAGGACATGTGGTCCCCAGGGCCTCACAGAACTCAGAGGGCAATCAGAGGGCAGGGGGTGCACAGACTGGCAGAGGCTGAGCAGCCACCAGGGCAGAGCGGGGCCAGGGGTGCCCAGGGTGACATGGAAGGGCAGCAGATGTAAAGCCTGAATGGTTTTGCATTTTGAGGAGATGGCAACACATTTCATAACCAGTTTATTTTTATTTATTTATTATTTTTTAAAAAGATTTATTTATACAAGCACTGGGTACAGTCAGACACACGGGAGGGTGAGAGAATTCACCAGAGCCAGAGCGGGGAGCAGAGCAGGCAGAAGGCACACTGCTGAGGGGAGCAGCGGGCGGCAGGAGAGGTCTGCGCTCCATGTGGGACCCTCGCTGGCAGCCGGGGATCGAACCGGCGCTGCAGAGGCTGCGGGCAGCTTCGCAGCCCAGGCTCAACCACTGAACCACCAGGGGAGGCCCTCATAGCCAGTTTAGACAACTTTTCTTTCAATAAGTATTTGAAATTCATTAGCGGTTGTCACCGGTGACTTTTGCCTCTGTCTTCATCTCTGTCTTTCAAGACTGGAGTAAAAAGAGCTGTGAATTCTACCTGCTCTCCCCACCCAGCCCTTTATAGTTCCAAAACCACTGTACCCCTTGCCCTTGGTAGCAATCCAGGTTTGCTTCCACCTCCTCTCAGCAGTAACAGTTGGAAGTCACGTCGGGAAGTCTTTGGCAATCATTTCAGCAGAGGGATACTTGGCTGGGGAGGGGAAAAAGGTGCGCTGAAAGGGAGACTTAATTTACCATGCATCACAGAATTCCCTAAGTAAATTATTTTCAAATCAACTCAGCCCTTCCCTTAGCCATGACAGCACCGGGTTTGGGTCTGATTTAAAAAATCCTAATCTATCACTGTCACCGGGCTTGCCGCAATTTAAGGCTTCAGTGGTTCGTGGCAGATAACAGTTGTTAAACTTCCTGCAGGCTAGGAAGGCAGCAATGGTTTGCTCTATTAACTATCATGAAACAGATAAAGGGGGAAAGAAAGGCTGTGTAGACAGAAGGCCTTGTGTTGGGCCAGAGCCCCTGTGGTGCTGACTCCGCCCCCAGCTCACCACTTGAGTCCTTCCATCCTGTACCTCCCTCCTGAGCCTCCCCAAAACCAGACCTGTGGGCCCAGACAGTGGCCTCCACCACCCGGGGTGGGGTTTCCTCAAGGACCAGGAGAAAGTAACAGGCGCTTCCAGTGGCAGAGCTACCTGTGATGGGTACTGGGTCACATGCATCTGACACCATCTAGACAGACACCAGCCAGAGGGAAAGGTTCCACTGGGCCTGGCGGGAGAGTGCCCATCTGGCTTCTGTCTCTTCTGGCTTCTGCCTCTTGTAGGTTGGAACATGTTATACTAATTACAATTGCCCCAGTAAGTCCAGGGGTCTCTCGAAACCTCTGTGACCATGTTGGCACCACCTGAGCCTTTGCTATGCCAGAGGTCAGAAGCCAGGGGTGGAATCAAGGGCTCGCAGCTCCTAGCCGGGACGTCACACTTTCTGTCTGAGCCTCGACTTCCGTTCCTGCCATGGAGATCAGACCAGCACCTTCCTCATTGAGTTACAGCCACACGTGGCTTAACAATGTCGATACATTCTGTGGAAAGCATCCTTGGGTGATTTTGTCCTTACACAGCACATTAGCAGTGGATTTTGTACACTTAGGGGCCTTGATGAACAAAATAGCATGAGATTAAGTCGAGAAAACGATGCGATCAAGAGACGTGGCAGATACGCGATGGGAGCGGCTGAGCTAGCATAAGAGGCTGAGACACCACAAGGACTGCAACATCCCTGGGCAGTGGGACTGGGCTCCCCCATCTCATACGTGGCCTGAAATACAAGCCCTCAGTGAATTGTTAGCAAACTGCAGTATCACATTGAAAAGATGACACACACAAGGGGGCTGTGTCCCTGGGAGGCCATGGTGATTCAACATGCAGAAACAATGTGATGCTCCTTAGCAGAATGAGAGATCATCTCAGTACCGCATAGAAACTTTGAAAATACAACCACTCATGATAAAAACTTTTAATAAAATAGGTACAGAAGGAACTTACCCCAACGCACTAACAACTATGAAAATCCCACAATAAACATCCCAATCAATAGGGAAAAACTGAAAGCTTTTCTTTCCTCTAAGAGCCAATAAAAAGCAAGGATGTCTACTCACACCACTTGTAATACGGGAAGTTCTAACCAGGGACGTGAAGACAAGAAAAAGAAATTAAAGGGATCTAATTGGAAAAGAAGAGATAAAATTAGTTATATTTTCAGATGACATGATCATAGATAGAGAAAACCAGAAAAACAATGAAAACCTGTCAAAACTAATAAATGCCTTTAGGTAAAGTTACAGCATACAAAATCAACACAAAAACAAGTGGTGTTTCTATACAGAGTGAACTATCTCAAAAGGAAACTAAAAATATCTCATAGCAACAGATAAAAACCCTTAGGAACAAACCAAAGAGCTGAAAAAATATACATTAAAAACTATAAAACATTGATGAAGGGAGTTAAGGAGAACAGATAAATGGAAAGATCCAATGTGCATGGGTTGGAAGAATCAATATTGTTAAATTGCCCATACCATCTAAAGCCATCTCCGAGTCAATGCAATCCCTATCACAATCTAATGGCAGAAATAGAGAAGAAAAAAACCTAATGTTTATATGGGATAACAAAAGACCCTGATTAGATAAAGTAATCTTGAGTAAGAAAAGCAAACACATTGGCGTGGAGATAGAAATTTCTGATTTCAAAATCTCACGAAGGTACAGTAATCAAAACGGTGTGGCACAGGCAGAAAAGCAGACCTGGAGATCAGTGGGACAGAACAGAGAGCTGTTCTGCACAGAGAGGAAGAAATACACACAGTTACAGTCAACTTATCTTCAACAGGTGAGCAACAACACAGCCAGCTCAGGGAAACTGGATATTAGCATGCTGAAGGATGAAACTGGGTGCTTAACTCACACTATATATATATACACAAAAATAAAAATGGATTAAATATTTCAACTTAAGGTCTGAAACTACAAAACTACTACAAGCAAACAGAAGAAAAGCATCTTGGCTATGCTTTTTGTATATGACACTAAAAGCACAGGCAACAGAAGCAAAAAAAAAAGATAAACAGAATGTCATCAACAAAAATACTTCTGCATAGCGAAGGAAATAATTCACAGATTGAAAAGGTAACCAGTGAAATGAAAGGTAATATTTGCCAACCGTACATCTGATAGTGGGTTTATATCCACAATAATTAAGGAACACAATAGCAAAATAAGTAACCCAGTTCAAATATGGACGAAGGACTTGAACAAGCGTTTCTCAAAGAAGACACACAGAGGATCAGCAGGTACCAGTAAAGGTTCACTTCTCACTAGGAAAATGCAGATCAAGAGCTCAATGAGCTCACCTCGGGCTGCAAGAAAGACTTGTCATAAAGACAAAAGAAACCAAGGACTGATGATGATGCCGAGAAAAGGGACCCCTTGTGTACTGTGGGTGGGGATGTAAGTTGGAGCAACCACTATGGAAAGCAGTAAGGAGGCTCCTCAAAAAAGTTAGAAACGCAGCTATGGGGTGATCCAGCAATCCGTGTGGGAGACACAGCCAAGAGAAAGGAAACCTGAGTTTTGAAGAGCTATCAGCTCACCCGTGCTTAGTGCAGCATTAGTTATACAACCAAGCTTTGAGAACCACCTAAATGTCTACTGACAGATGAGTGAGCAGAAAAATGGGACACAGGAATATTATTCACTAAGAAATCCTACCATCTGCAACAGCGTGGGGAACTGGAGGACGTCATGCTAAGCGGAATAAGCCAAAGAAAAACAAACACCCCATCGGGACGCATGTGCAACCTGAAAGGGTCAAAATCATAGACACACAGGGTATAGCAGGTTGCTGGGGTGGGTGGGGGACATGGAGAGATGGGGTCAGAGAGTCCAGAGTTTCAGCTTGGCAGGGTGAACAGCTTCTGGAGATGCTCTCTGTGGCGTGGTCACTATAGTAAACAAAACTGTGCTGGAGACTTGAACGAGGCTAAGAGGCTGACCTAGGTGTTCTCACCGCATAGACATACACGGGTGCTAACTGTCAGGGTATGGTTATGTGTGTGACCATTTCACAACGTACACACGTCAATCAAAGGACCAGGTTTTACACCTTAAATACGTATCATTGTGATGATGAGTAAATTATACCTCAATAAAGCAGGGGAGAAAAGAGCCAGTCTAGAGATGGGGAGCTGCTGGTGTAGAGGTGACCCTCTGGGTAACTCCTTTCCATGGTGTGTCCACACTCCAAGCTGCTTGGGTCTTAGGCGTCACAAAGTCTGCAGCGGCCCTAAAATTTAGTGCACCTGCTGGAACTATTTTCATATGTTGGAGTTGTGTGGATTAAGCACCTGGCGACTGGGGAGTTTCTGTGATGAATGCCCTGCACACTGTCCAGTGCCCGGGGTGGGTAAAGGGTGACCACAGCCAGCAGCAGCAACTCCTGCCCACGCTTATTGGGCACCAGAAGCCAGGCAGAAATGCCAGGACCCGATATGTGTGCCCTCCTCTCCCTATACAGCTCAGTCAGACTGTGTTTACTCTGCCCCTATGAAGCTTGTGTGCTAAAGGAACAAAAGATCCCCAGAGGAGCAAGAGGCTGGTGCAAGTGGCAGACCTCCCACCAAAACCCAGGTGCTGGGGAGGGAGGCACTGAGGTCACCGTGACTTGGGGGAAGGGAGGGCAC